AGGGGCCGCATCTTCTAACACTGTCTCCTGAGACCCTCCTTGGGGGGCCCTTGCTCGCGCAAAGGACCGACGCCTAGGTGGGGTCTCCTGAGTCCGGGGAGAATAGTTGGAGGGTCTTGCAGCAACCTCCTTGGGGCGTCTTGATGGCAGCGAGCTGCAAACCAGACCGCCAATTCCCGGATGCGGGGAATTAGGGGAACAGTGGGGCCCGGTGTGGGGCCCCGGTTAGGATTCAGGCCTCTTCGCCTTCCTGCATGCGAGACCCAACCCGGGGATTAGGTATTTAATCCCTCTCAAATCTTGCCTTGAGAACGCGGTGAGGGGCTGGGGGTGGGGACGGGGGCCGCCCCCACAAGCACCTGGAGGAAAACACGGATTAAACCCTCTATTGTTTCTCTTTCATAGATTTTTAGAATGTTCTTAAACTTTCTGCTCAGTTATATCCTCCCAGCTAATTTCTCCATTCATGTTTGATCCCCAGCACCCAGCAGAGTTTAGAACATAACAGACCCATTGTGTATTGTTGAACGATTGAATAAACCCCACCCACGGGGTTCCAAGTGTTGACTCTACTTACAGAACCTAATAATTTCATGACACTGGGGCCAGGGAACACCTAATTTTCGGCCCCTTACCAAAGCTGGAGATACAAAGGCAATTAGGACAGGATCCCTGCTTCACCGGAACCGCTGAGTACACTTTGAGTCTTAAAGGTTGACCCAAAACTCACCAGGGCATCCTAGGGGTGTGTGAGGAGAACATCAGGAGAAAGACTTGGAGCTGAAAGGGCACGTTTTGGGAAATGCAAGTGTATCAGCTTGGCAAGGGCGCAGTGGGGATCAGGGGGTGGGAGCTGTGAACAGCGGCGCTGGAGAGATGGTCTAGTGCAGGGTTTTTATAGAGCATCCTAAGTAGCTTGGACTGTTCCCTTCTGACTACCAGCCTCAGACTTCTCTCGTCCTTATGTCCTCGTCTCTAAAACGTTGTGGGGATTAAAGGAGCTATGGATGTAGCTGCATTTGAATCTGTTTCTGGGCCAAGAGAGTGGACTAGGTTTGATCCAAGAGGAATTCTAAAGAGGAGGGCAGTGTTGCAGACCCTAGAGGGAGGGAAGGAGCCCGGACAAGGGCAACCAAGGGAGCTAGAACAGAGCGGTCTACTCCACGCTGCCTCTCTCGGGTGGGGAGTGGCAGACCTCTCTGTCCCTCCCTCCCCATTTCTGCTGGTCTGCCATCTGTTTGCTCCCACCCCCAACCCAACCCCACAGGGCACTCCTGGCTTTAGCTGCTTTGTGAGCAGTCAAGCAGATAGGGAACCCTTGGAAAGGGACCTTCAAGGACAAAGAAGTTAACAGGGCCCTGGCACTGGGCACGAGGGGTGGGGGCCTGCTGAGCCAGGAGGAGGTCGCACAGGATTAGGGAGACTGAGGAGAAAGCCCCCCACTTCCTGATTTGGGGTCTCTGGCATGCCAGGAGCCATGCTCTTGGATGAGCCTTGTACAGCCGGGGACTCCTGGCCCGCTATAGCTCTTGAGTTCTTCCAAGTTGTAAGAAGCAGATCTCCATGAAGTGACACAAACAAAAGGCCAGACCTCCAGGACAGTCGGGTGGACGGTCACCCTCACCTGGCAAATTTCCACTTGGACTTCACTTCCGTCCCTCTCATCCTTCACATCTGTCTTGGTGTCTGTCACTTCGCTGCGCCCTCCCAACCGCTGACTGTCTTGTACCTTCAAATCTAAGCACCTGTTTGGCAAGCCTCCTGCCTGGCCACTTCCCGGGCCACTAGCCAGATCCGAGTGAGATCCTCGGTCCAGCTGGCTGTGGCTAGGATAATGGGTGTCATGGGACAAATCTCAGTAGGCCCAAGTGGCCCAAGCCATTTTTCTCAAGGGGGTGTGAGGGTTTGTCCCCCTCTCAGCTCACTGGTTGAAATAGACCTACAACTGATGGGATTCCATCCCCCTGGGACATTCCCTTATCCAATGCCCTGCAGGCCGTTGATGCTGCTGGTTTCTCTGGGGACAAGTGTCCCAGAGCACCTGGGAAGGCACCAGGAGGTAGAAGGGATGGACTTGCACCGGGGAGATGGCTCAATACACCCAAACTCAAGCATCAATTTGGGAAGAATTGGGACGACACATACTTCTGTTAAGCAGAGGTTTTGAACCTTTTTTCTACCACACATCCCCTTGGCAGCTTGGCGAGGCCCACAGACCCCTACTCGGAATAATGTTTTCAAATTCATAAAATAAAATATGTAGGGATACAAAGGAAATGAAAAAAAGTTTTTAAGATTTTATTTTTTTGAGAGAGAGTGAGAGAGCACAAGCAGGGAGAACAGCGGGGGGAGAGGGAGAAGCAGGCTCCCCGCGGAGCAGGGAGCCCGACATGGGGCTCGATCCCGGGACCCCGGGATCATGACCTGAGCCGAAGGCAGACGCTTCACTGACGGAGCCACCCAGGCGCCCCAGGGAGTGAAAATATTTAAAAACAATAATCAAAGTTAAAACCCCAGATTTTTGTTTGAGCACAAACGTGCTCCTTTGTCATCACGTTAACGAGGTCTAGTGTCAGGTCTGATAAGTATAAAGTAACACAGTCTCTGGTGTTGCTCACGCTACCGTGCTCTGGTATCTACAGTCGCAATAACAAGAGATGCTAAATTTCGAATAAGAGGTCATTGGAAATAATAACTTTTTCCCATCCAAGCTGATTGATTGGAGCTTAAGAAACCCGGCTATGAATTACGTATCCTGGCCCTACACCAGGTCCTAGGGGAAGCTCAGTGGTAGCCACAGTAGGTTTCTAAACAAAGGCCTGGTATCATGAATGCGGTGTTTGAGGAAGAACAGTGTGTCCTCGTATTGGGGATGATTCTATAGCTGTCACCCAGCACCCCCACACACGGAACTTTCCAGCCCTGTATCTCCCATTCTCCCCTCTAGATGCAAGGTACTCTGAACTTCCCTCAGCCCCTCGACTGGGTCACCCTCCTTTGTGCCTCTCAGATTTTACACCTGTGCCATCCACCTAGAACTTTCTTTCTCCCCCTCTTCCCTGGCTAACCCATTGCCAGGGTTCACCGCTCCTTCTGAGGGTGCCTGGGGCTCTTGGCTTTCCTGTCCCGATCGCAGGCACCCCACTATGTTGTAATGCTCTAATCTCCAGTAGATTCTAAGCACCAGGAGGGCAAGGACCCTACCCATCGTTCACCTTTAGCTTCCCCCTGAGTTGTGCGGGGTGGTGGTGGTGGGGGGGGGGGCTGGCCTATAAATATTTATTGAATGGATATTACTTAAGAGACAAGAGGTTATTTACCAGTCAAGACCAGTCAAGAGATGTGGTACCATAAAGAATTTGACTGGCCCTCGTTCCTGGTTCCTAAGAGGGAAACTCTAAATCCTTGGGATTCTCCAAGTGACAGGTGCTCTTTGCTGTTCTTGGTGGGCCCTGATAGTTTACACTAATGAGATGACTAGTTGACAGTTGATGTAAAGAGAAGAATCGGGATGAAGGTAGACCACACCACAGAGACCAACCATGTGACTGAGAGGGTTGGTGCTTTGAGCCACTTGACATCAACCCTTACCCCAAACCCCAATAAAAATGCTGGACATTGAGATTGAGGCTCAGGGGAACTTCTTGGATCGTAAATACACTGATATGCCAGGAGGTGACACACCTGTCTACTGGGGGCCTGGGCTTGGAAGCTCTGCTTCTAGGACCCTTCCAGAACTTAACGTTTGTCTGTCCTTACAGTGAAACAGCAATCCTAAGTCTAGCACTTTCCTGAGTTCTGCGAGTTGTTCCAGTGACTTATTGAACCTCTGGGCATTGCAGGAACCCTGGATTTAGATCCAGTTGGCCAGAAATGTGGGTGACTTGGGGACCCATGAGATTTATGTCACCAGACTGGGTGCCAGCTCCCCCCACTTCCCAGCGGTGGAGTCCAGCACCTCTGCTCCTGCCATTCCTCCTTCTGGGTGTGGGATTGTCCAAGCCAGTGACCCAGAGACAACCACGCCACGGGACTGTGCTCGGTCACGTTCCTTCCTGAGGACCCTCTGCCTGGAGCTGCCAAAGGGCACACGGCCTCAGAAAGCTCGGTCCTGGCAAAACCCTCACTTTTGACCTCTCGACGGACCCCTGCCCTGCTGCACCTCACATCGTGTGTTCCAGAAGTGGGAGGAGGAGGCCCTTTGGACGAGGTGAATTGGGAGAGGTGGCAGACATCCCCCTGGTGGCCTGGCCTGCATCTGAGGGAGGGGGAGTGGGGAGGGGTCCCACTGTCGCAGCTCTCAGCATCTGATGGAGCCTCATGGGGAGGGTGAGGTACATCACATTCTCCTAGGAGGTGCCCTTGGGAGTCCGCGGGGCCCCAGC